TCTTAGGAAAGAATATCATATAGCCCTTCCACTGGTATGTGATATTCGTGATGAAGAATCTGTAATAGCAGCCATCCAAAAGACCGTCGATACATTTGGTAGAATTGACATAGTAATTAACAATGGTATGAGACTGATTTTTAAAGCAAGCACTTTTTTGTCGTTTCACGTTATATTTTATATATTTGTATTTTAGCCTCCGCGATATCATTGACCGATACACAAGATACCACCCTTAAGAAGTATAACCTCATGCACGAAATCAACGCGCGTGGAACGTGGTTGGTGACAAAGGCAATGAGTGATCTCGAATCTTTCCGTGAATAATCAAGACCTCATTTAAGAATTATATTGAAGTTTTTTTTTTTTTTTCAAAGCATGCCCTTCCACACCTCATTGAAAGTGGAAAACAAAATAGGAATCCACATATTTTGAATATAAGTCCGCCCCTTTCTTTCAAAGAACGGTGGTTCTCAGACCACGTTGCATACTCCATTGCAAAATATAACATGTCACTATGTATTTTGGTATAGTAACCTTTTCTATTAATAAATTTGTAATTGATTATCATGTTAATACTTAGATCATTAACGAAACATATTAACAGGGATGGACAGGAGAATTTCGGAAATATGGAATCGCCGCGAATGGTATGTTTCTCTTTTGTTATAAGTACTTGTAATCTGTGCGTGATACTTGAAACTAATTCTACACAAAACATTTATTTAGCTCTTTGGCCTTTAACAGCTATTGATACAGCAGCATTGCGAGTTATAGGTAAAATGTGAAGGCATTCAGTAAGGTTAATAAAGTAATAATAATAATAATCAATATTTTAAAATTTAAGCACAATCTACCTCTTCAATCGCGAGAACTCCGGAAATAATGGCTGACGCAGCACATTTAATCCTCACTAAAAATTCCAAAAACTTCAGGTATCTTTTTTTTTTTTAATTATAGCACCTCGTATTCACGATTACTCTCTCATATCTCAACACCTCGCGTTAAATGCGTATTCTACCACATTTATTAACTAGTGGCAATTTTGTGATTGATGAAGTTATTTTAAGAGAGCATGGTCAAACGGAATTTGATCACTATTCTGTTATTCCTGGTAACAAAAATCTTCAAGATGATTTATTTATTGACAAAGAAATATCTGACAAAATGAGAGCCTTGTGGAAAGAAGATTCCCGTAAGAAAGGGCCAAAATTGTAGTTAGATAGAATCTTTCAACAACGGATTCTAAATTGAATTCATCATTGAATTAATTTAATTACTCAAAGCTTTCTCATGCTACTTAGAATATAAGGTTTTAAAGGTTTTATCATAAAATCCGGGGATAATGCATTATATAACAGAAAGTAAAAAAAGGATATCTGGTTGGAAATATTATTTCTACCTTGATGAAGTATTTTTATTTTTTGATATGATATATTCAAAAGTTTAACAGAAATCAATTAAAAAGTATTCAAGTAATAAAATATTAACTTTAATTTTAATCATTAGATTTTGGGTGTTTTTTTTGCTGATCTTTTAGTGGTGGTTTTTTTCGTTTCTGTCTCGCTATCACCTTCATTACCATCATCTTTTGAAGTACTTGCGTCACCCTTGTCGGCATTATTGTCATCGGGGGTTGGTTCATCAGTTTTTTTGTGTTTTCCGGATGCCTTACAAAAAGAAAAAAATATTAGCATACTTATATTAAATTGAAGTAGAAAGGTTTCCAATTAATTTTTACCTTTTTTGCGGGTGATATCAACCCGAACAACAACTTAAGAAGCGCGAATAAAAATATGACCACGGCTGAAAAACCAGCCACAATGTATGGTTTTGCTTTGATGGCTTCCAAAGGATCTTCGAGGAAAGACTCGATGAATTCATCAATATGTTGTTGAAGGAATTTGATAGGATCATCCAAGAATGAAACAGTAAGCTGAAAATAAATCAAAAGTACATAAATTTTACCGTGAAAACATCAAATTTGAAGAAAAAAAAATGTTCTGGAAATGTACTTCTTCGTCGGAAATTTTGTTGTCTTTATCTTCTTTTTCCTTTTCAATCTTGTATTTAACTCCCCAAGTTTCTTCAGCGAATTTTTGAGCATCTTCCTCGGAATGACCGATATAAATATTATCAAACAAAATATCACTTTGCATAGTCCAAATCTCAAATCCAACAGCGGCCTGGATAATCAATGAAGTTAGGATAAGAAGATAACAATGGGGTACCAATAATTGAAGTAATGCGTGTGCTTACAATTTTTTCAAAATTAGAAGGAGTTAAATCTTCGAAGAATTTCGGGTTTGGAATCTTACGAGGAGCCCATGGACCTTTATATTCAGGGTTATCAATTTCTGGTGGATACCACTTGCCCTTGTAATTGGGATTACGTTTTGTTGGTCGTTTCCATTCACCACATCCAGGTGCTTCTTCGCACTTTGGATTTGGAATGCTTGGAGGAATCCAATCACCATCTTCTTCATCATCCCAATCTTCAGGCTTTTTGGCTTCCGGATCAGGGATGTTCAGGGGTTCATCATCGAGCCAACCTTCTGGCTTTTGAGCGTCTTCATCGGGGATTTCAAGGGGTGCATCTTCATCCCTAATAATTACTCTTTCTTTAGATAAAGATCTAGTAATCTAAGAAAATATATTGTTTTAAACTGTTTTAAAACTCACCAGTCATCTGGTTTTTTTGCATCTATTGTCAAACAGAATTTAGAAAGCATAAGGACAGATGACATAACAATCGAATAATATGATTACAGAAAATACAAATAAATATAATTGCCTGGATCAGGAATTTTTGGATTGTCTACCCAATCACTTGGCTTCTTGTCTAAAAAATTAATTTTAAATAATTTATTACCAAGAAACACAACATGGATAGATGTATTTAAATTTATACCTACCATCAGGATCTTCAATTTCCTTTGGAGGATTGACCGCTGGTGAAAAATCTTTGAGAAGACTTCCAGTTTTGACTGACTCATTATTAATTCGAATTTCGAATGTATTATCGGGTCTGACCATATTATTATACAAAATAAAAGTTTTTAATTGAGTGAAACAAATGATTAAAATGGAAAACCATCAATTTTCTTGTGTGAATACCTCACGATCAGCCCATATAAAGTACTAAGTTTTACTGTTTTGGCTGAAGGAGCACTTGACAAATGCTTTTCTTCGTATTCACCAGTAAGTGGATTTTTGTGTCGGAATATAAAGTGAACCTTATTGGTGCTACCACATCGATCAGGCCCAAACATGATCGTATAAGGTGTCTTGTCTGAAAATTCAACGGCTTGGATTCCATCTTTGGATTCAGTTAAGAGTTTCATATAGGCCCCCCCCACACTCAAGTCCATTTTGAAGTTTTACTTCATATCTAAAATATGAGAGGATAAAGGATTTACATGAATTCTTGTGAAAAGTTGAGCTATCAATCCAGGCCTTACTCACTGGACTACTAATGTTTTGCCTGTGTTATCCAACGGCGTTTTTAGTGGAGCGGATATTGCGTGATGAGCTGCAGCGGATTTTGCAACTAGACCTTTATCGCCTTTTATACCTGGATAAACATTTGGTTCTTCAACGATCCATTTTCCAACATAACTAAATGTTTCACCACCATCCTTATTTTCTTTCGTAGCCTCACTGGGTGACCAACGGGTCAACCAATCGTCTGTGAATTGCTCAAGAAAAGGTGCTTGGATGGTTGTGGGCTAATGGAGGAAAATTAGTAAAATCAGCTCACGAAAGGTGTTTCTATGGAACTATTACTTTGTAAGAGTTTTCAAATAGTGTTTCTGACAGAAATAAAAAAGCATATTTGAAGAAAAATATGATTGATCAAAGGATTTCTTTTTCTACCTTAAACTCTGGCCTATTGTCTACTTCTGTAGTCTCTTCGCTACAGACACAGACTGCAAGTGCCGATGCAATAAGGAAAGCGAGAGTATGACGAGTAAACTTCATGGTTATGGACAACTGGGCATCTAAGTAAGTTAAGCCAAGGCCGATTTGTAAAGTTTTTGTCGAGTGTGTTCTTCAAGCTGAAGATACTACGTAGATTTTTAACGTTTATATAATATATGTGGAACGTTCTGATTTGTCACCCGTTTGCATCGTCATGCGTGTCAACTTTTGATTTGTTGATTTTTTTTTATTTTGTAGATATCGATATACATTTAAAATTCATCCTTCATTGTTGAGATATTCGTTATGCCAGTTGCGGCTAGGTTGGAAAATTTCTTTTCTATTCTATCTATATTTATAAATGTTTCACGATAGAAATAAATTATATAGGATTAATTATAACTGGTTTATTTCGGAAATTATAATTTATTTTTTTTAAAATAGAAACAAGAATTAAAATCCGTTAATGAGTTGATTCCGTTGTACTATTACTATTTTGATCATCTTTAATAATTTGCAGGATTGAGTTCTATAATGGTAAAAAAAATTATCGTGATAAAGCAGCTTTTTTTGATTTATAAAAATAATTTTTATTAATTTAAATGTTTTTTAATAATTTCAAATTTTATCTTTTACTTATTAAGTTTTTTAAAAATATTTAAACTAAAAACTGTTAAACAATCAATTTTTTATTTAGTAAATATATTTTACAAAAAATTTTTTTTGAATATTTAATTTAAATATTGTACTTGAAATTATTTTTTTTAAAGTTTTTTTTTAATGATGCTTCAAACTGTCTCGTTTTTCTAGTAATAATATTAAAACATTTAATACCACAGTAAATCAAATATTTCATATTATTGAAATGACCTTTTTGTTAAAAGTAATACACGGTTATGAAAAAAAATATAAGATTTTTTTACTTGGATTCTTTATATCAGTTTAAAATGAATAAATGTGTCGCGCATATGGTAAACTTTGCATCTACAAATTTTAACAAATTTTCTGAAATTCTGATAAGATACCGAGTTTACACGCTAAAAAAATTGAACAATAGTTAATAGTATACATGTAAGATCTTGTCTGCACTCAAAAAAGAAAAAGAAATGCACAAAGTTCGTGCATGAGAGAGACGCTTTCCACATCAGAATGACGAGTAATTAATCATCTACTGTGCATATATATCAAGGTTAAGATTTGGTTCGGCTAATAAGGATAAGGTAGTTACTTCACACATTTAAGAGGATGATAGTTCTATATTTTGGACGTTCAAATTGACGTACGATTCAACGCGTTTACAGTTTAACCAAAAGAATGAAATTACTAATTTCGCAGTTTTTTGTTGTTGCGGGTTTTTTTGGTTTTAATTTTGCATTTGGCCATAACATCTTTGAGACTCTCATGTTTCCGAATACGCTCAAATCCCCCAACAAGAAAATTTCTTCATACATAAATAAAGTTCGTGCTGAATCCATAAAAAAAGTATTCCTTCATTCTTACAACGGTTATCGTAAATATGCATGGGGTCATGATGAACTTCGTCCGGTGTCAAACGGAACCGTCAATAATTTTAATTGTTGGGGAATGACCATAATTGATTCCTTAGATACAATGATCATCATGAATCTTAGGAAAGAATATCAGGAGGCAAGAGAGTTTGTGAAGGAAAATTTAGATTTTGGAATGAAACAAGGTTGTGGATCAAGATATGCGAGTGTCTTTGAGACCAATATTAGGTATTTAGGTGAGTTGACCTATTCATATGAAGGAACTTAATGTTTACTCTAAGTCACATGACCTAATCGTGAATTTAGGAGGGTTACTCGCAGCCTACGATTTAACAGGAGACGAACTCTACCTAAACAAATCGATCCTTCTAGGAAATCTTCTTTTACCGGCATTCAACACACCTACAGGAATACCCACAGGAGAGATAGATATCGTGGAAAAGAAAGGTGTTATAGGATCAGAATCCTCCCTAGCTGCAGTTGGCACATTACAACTCGAGTTTCGGAGGTTAAGTGAATTGACCGGAAATCCGATTTATTTGCATAAGGTATGTGTTCTGTGATTATCCGGAGGATGATATGTGATCGCTTCCTGATTTTCCCATCCCCATCGGCTCAAAGGCACAAAAAGTTCTCGACGTTATTCAATCCAAAAAAGCCCCATTACCAGGTCTATACCCAATTTTCATAGATCCTTACCGGGGAAGATTCGGAAAAGGTAAGGAGATTGCGAACATTTCCATATATCACATGATTAAAATACTCCAAGAGTTAAAAGAGTGTTTTTGATAATAGACTGGATTTCGTGGGGAGCATATGGTGACAGTTTTTACGAGGTACGTATATTTGAGGTCCTTTTGTAAAGAAGTAAAATTCTTTAATATCAAAAAGTCGCACATACCATAGTACCTTTTAAAACAATATATAATGGTTCGTGAGACAGTCCCTCAATACATTGATATGTGGAAATTGGCAGTAAAATCGACCGTAGAAAACCTGGTAGTTTCCGTACGAGGATTTCCTGAGTTACAGTATTTAGCTCAATGGAATAACAATAAATTGATTTTTGAAATGGAACATTTAGTAAGTTTAACATTATGATTGTAATTTTATATACTTTTTTTAATGTAATTTCTCGATTTAAAAAGGCCTGTTTCTCCGGAGGAAATTTCATTCTTGGGGCGCGAACGCTCAATGACCAATCCCTTTTAGACCTTGGTCTCTCCTTAACTTCTACTTGTTATAACACATATTTGGGTACAGGTACTCAACTGGGTCCCGAACAATTCGGTTGGGATCAGCCAATCAGATACACAAACTTTCCACCAAACCGACAGTTTCAAGAGTTTGGATATTCTGTTACGAATTCGAGGTACCCATTACGACCTGAGGTGGTCGAAAGTATTTTTTATGCTTACCGAGTTACTGGTGACACGAAATATCAAGTAT